GGACAAGGGCGAAAAATCTCGGAGGGCCCGTGTGCAAGTTGCGCACATTAAAGATCCCTTGGTGGTCTAAAATCGATAAGAGAAGGCTTCGGCCGCCACCCGGGCAAAATTCAAAATTTCCTACCAACTGAAAATATTAGGTGTCTTCCGCGCGCTCATATGACCTTATGCAGTTGCGAGCGCCGTAAAACACTTTACAAAAACAAACAAAAGAAGTTTTAATAGCAAGTAGCCAATCTTCAGTCGCTTAGTGGTGGTCATTTAGAGGCACTCCTTAGTTTCCTCTTGCCTTCTGCTTCTTAACGAGTACCATCAAACGATGTACTGACATACTATTATAAAGTATCACGACGCTGAGGAATCAGGAGATTGTCAATTTTTGGGGCATATGGAGTTACCGGTATCAAATTAAACAGAAGTGTGTTTTTAAATAGAAAGTTTTGATTTAAAAAAGGAAAATTCGGAAGAAAAAAAAAAGCCCAAAGATCAGAAAAATGTCGGTTTAATTGATCACATTATTTTGACGAGCGCCTGATTCCCCCCCACGCTCCCTCCCAATTTACATTATGTGTCACGACACGGTGGAATCAGGTGCTCGTCCTCATTTTTTTCTATATTATGGGGGCTTTTGAGAACATTATATCAAAGGCTGTTCATTGGCCTTGTTTTTTTGGCTTAAGAACAACAATAATATACTCGTCTATCTTGAAAAGAGGACGAGACGTTGGCCATTGAATTAGGTGGGAGTCATTGGAGTCACCACGCAATGGAATCAGGCGCTCGTCAATTTTTGGGCATATGGCGCTATTGGTATAATCTTAAAGCTATTTTATTTTCCTTTCTTCTAATAAAATACATATCCATCTATCTTGAAAAGAAGTCAAAATATTTGTGATTGAACGAGGTGAGGTCGCTTGGTTTCAGTGGGGAAATTAGCGAGAAAATGGCCACCAAAGTAATAGCTAGAGAGTCCTTCGAAACTGAAAAATGGCATTTTATGGGTCTTTAATCAACGTTTTTAAATAAATTTCATATGGAAATGTGTTTTTATATGGACATAAATGTGGTTGAGCCAAAAAAATAAAATTCTATAAAAAATTTCCAAAATGGCGGCAAAATGCTTTTTTCTACGATTTCGTTATTTTGACAAGCGCCTGATTTCACCACGCTGCCTCACATTAGTGTCTGGCTTAAAGTTAGCAGTGCAATGGTGATCAAAGATTGGTGACTATCAAAGTTGGAATATCCTTGAAAACTTGCTCATTTACACTGACGTGTCCTTGGTCAACATGTTTCCGTAAAATCCACACAGTTATAATAATAATATTATATTTTATAAAAGACTTTTCCTCGCCTCTA